TCTTCCGATTCTTCGTTAATGCTGCCGGCTACGCGAGCATCGTGGTCCCGGGATTCCTCCTCATCCAGTACTTCAAGAGAAGGAATTACCTGGAGACGGGTAAGGGCAGGAGCTTCCCTTCCCCATCCTGCCTCCGAGCTCACCGCACCCCCTGGGTCAACCCAGTTTGGCACTGACGGGTGGTTTCCCCCAAACTGCTGTGTCAGACCAGGCTTGAGCCGCTCACAGAGCTGCATCCCAGAGCTGCATCCCAGAGCTGCATCCCAGAGCTGCCTGGGCGCTAGCCTGAAACGAGTTTCTCCGAGGCCCTCGTGCCAGCAGACGTGGAGGCCAGTAAGGAGGGAGGCTTCACCTCTCCAGCTGGTGCAGCTTGCGGTGCCCAGGCTGTGGTTAATTCTGTCTCTGTGCTCTCTGACCCCGTTTAGGCCGAGGCATTTGCTTCCCTGTCATTAAATCATGCGTGTTCGGCTCCGAGGTGAAGTCTGTGCACCAGGACGATGGCTCCCTGCCGCCCCGAGTGGAGCCCACAGAATCCTCTACAGCCCGACAGGTCTTCAAGCTGCTCTTCTGCGCTGCTGGTCTACAGGTAGGGGCCCTGTGCGTGTGTGTGGCCAGTCCACTTGGGGGGGGGGAGGAGGTGGGCAGTGGGTTTGTGGCCATCAGTTCCTCAAACACCAAGGACTGGGGTGGGGTTGGAGGCTGGGACACAGCCTCTTAACCAGGGGAGTCCACCAGAGCTGCTGTGTCACCTCTAAGGGCTGTTTAGTTGGTGTCACATCTGGCTTGGGACCTCCTGTCCGTCTGATCGCAGTGCTCTGCAGCCGTGGATAAGGAAAATGCTGTGATTCAGCAGATATTGTTAGGGCTGCTCTTGTTCTGGCCCTCGTGTCAGAGCAGCAGATGCTTGGAGCTGTCTTAGCTCCCAGGCTCTCCTCTAGGTTACCTTCTGGGGCTGATGGTGTCCTGCCTTGATGGATTGGATTTGAGTACTGGAGAGGAATACTGACTTCAGCTACAGATAAACAGGAAATCTTACTTTCCCTAAGCCTCAGCTATAGCCTGAGCATCATTAGGAAGGGCAGCCTTTTGAGTCTGCAAGGACTAAAGATAGAAATGTGGGCATTATGATAGAAAAACTCCCAAATCCTGCAGCCAGCAGAAGACACCCACTCTCTGGCCTACCATCCCAGCCCGTTCAGACTTGCTGCAGGTCACCAACAAGTTCTTCCATCTCTCTGTGCCTCAGTTTCTCAGGAGGGGATATAAGTCTGTGTTACTTCTGTGAGGTTACCGTTGCACCAGAAGTAGTGGTGGTGACAGCCAGAGCGGTGATCATCCCTGGAGGACAATTTCATCTGTTGGGTTTGAAACTAGAATTGATTTGGATTGGAAGAACCGGGCCTAGGGAGCTGGACGGGAAAACCCAATGCAGAGGACAGTGGGAAAACTGCCAGGACCTGCCGCAGGGAGCTGGCCCCAAAACGGCAGCTGCCCCTCGGTGACATTCCCTGATCTTGTCGGTCTGGTTCAACCGTAACCGCTCGCCCTACACCAGGATGTTTGCTCTGCGGGCTCCTCTTCCCCGGAGGAGGCTGGAAACGGAGCGGGTTTGGTTTGGGATGGGATGTTCCCGGCTGTAACCACGTGGGACAGCGGGTGGCCCCGTCTCCCAGTGTCTCAGGGAGGCGTTGCTGTGCAGAGGAGGAGGCGACGCTGCGACAAGCAAGGATCTCCTGGGGGCGGGGGGGGGTCCTGTTTTTTTTCCCCCGTGGTTGCTTGCAGCTGCCATGGTGGGTCCTGACTCTCCCCGTGCTCGCTCCTGCTTCGCAGGCCTCCTACCTCACGTGGGGCGTCCTCCAGGAGCGGGTGATGACGAGGACGTACGGTGCCACGGAGACGGACCCCGGTGAGAAGTTCAAGGACTCCCAGTTCCTGGTGTTCATGAACCGCATCCTGGCCTTCACGGTGGCGGGGCTCTACTGCGCCCTGACCAAGCAGCCACGCCACGGGGCTCCTATGTACAAATACTCCTTTGCCTCCCTCTCCAACGTCCTCAGCAGCTGGTGCCAGTACGAGGCGCTCAAATACATCAGCTTCCCCACCCAAGTGCTGGCCAAGGCCTCCAAAGTGATCCCAGTGATGATGATGGGCAAACTGGTGTCGCGCAAGAGTTACGAGTACTGGGAGTACCTGACTGCTGCCCTCATCTCCGTGGGGGTCAGCATGTTCCTGCTCTCCAGTGCTCCCAACAGGCACGTGTCCACTGTCACCACTTTCTCAGGCGTAGTCCTCCTGGCCGGCTACATCCTCTTTGACAGCTTCACCTCCAACTGGCAGGACGCCCTCTTCACCTACAAGATGTCTCCCGTGCAGATGATGTTCGGTGTCAACGTCTTCTCCTGCCTCTTCACGGTGGGCTCGCTCCTGGAGCAGGGTGCCTTGCTGGAGTCGGTACGCTTCATGGCCCGCCACTCGGAGTTCACGGCCCACGCCGTGCTGCTCTCGGTGTGCTCGGCCTGCGGCCAGCTCTTCATCTTCTACACCATCAACCAGTTCGGGGCAGCCGTCTTCACCATCATCATGACGCTCCGCCAGGCCTTCGCCATCCTCCTCTCCTGCCTCATCTACGGGCACACCGTCACGGTGGTGGGTGGGCTGGGCGTAGCGGTGGTCTTCGTGGCCCTCTTCCTCCGCGTCTACGCCCGCAGCCGCATGAAGAAGCGCAGTAAGAAGCTCCCACCAGGCGAGACCCCCGTACAAAAGGTCTAAGGAGCTGGGGGCCGGGGCATTTGAGCCCATGCCTGCTGTCCTGCCTCCGCTCGGGGGTCCTTGCTTGATTTCTCAGAACACACTGAGGAGCAGGGTGGGGTATGGATAGGCTGGACCAGTGACTGACTGTTCCACCTGCTTTTCCTGGGGAAAGGGCTGGAACAAGCCCAGGGAATGCTCCCAGGCTGCCACAGCTCCAAACCTTTCTGTTTGCCTTAATGGGTCAAAGACTTCCAGCCGAGGCACGGGCCTGGGGGGAAAACCAGCATGGGGCTGCTGGTACTCCTGCCCCACCTTTGTCTTGTGGCTTCTCTACAAAGTCACTGAGGGAGCCTCTTTTCCCTGACACCGTCTTGCCTCTGGCTAACGTTTCTCCATCTCTGTCACTACTCCAGAGCTCAGCAGGAGGAAAGGGCAAACAAAACACTAGCTTGGTTTGCCGAAACACTTCCATGGGAGGCAAGTCCCCAGCTGAGTCTGTCCCACGAGGAGGAGCTCTCCAGCCTCCCTCCCAGGAGGTGCTTCAGGTAGGACAGGCATGTCAAAGGGAAGGACTCCAAGCCTGTCCTACCCCAGGCGTGGGGTCTTGCTCCAGAAGGGCACTCCGCAGTGAAACCCAGTACCTCCCCGTTTGGTTTTATCCGTTCCTTACCCCTGCTCAGAGACACTTTCCTCCCCTCCCCTTGGCCCAGACTGATTTTTATGCAGACTGAGGCTGGCCAGTACCGTTCCCGAGGCTTGCTGAGTTGTTCTAGGTTGCTTTTTAGTTACAGCCGCTGCTGTTACAGGCCAAAGGCTGCGCTGCCCAGAAAGCCCCAGCGTCGCCTGGGCGGGGGGTTGTCTCAGTTTCTGGGCTTTGCAGTTGCCATTCAGAGAAGCACAAATAGCCCCTCTTCTTCCTGCCGACTGGAGGCATTGGCCACGGCTTTCCTGGGGCCTGGCCAGAGCCCCCCACTGTGCCTGGAGGGTGGAGCAGAGCCTGCTGGTGGTGCCTTGTTCCTGCTCCACGGGCAGCAGGGGGATGGAGCGAGTGGGCGCCTGCTCGCCAGGCAGCAGGGGATGGAGCAGTGGAAGCTGCTTTTCCCCAGAAGCCTGGGTTTTACTGGTTAACCCTTTTCTCCTCAACACAACCTGACTGACAAGCCAGCAGGTTTTGGTACTTTTGAGAGGCAACTTTTTTTCTCTCTTTATTTTATTAAATTAAAAATATGCTGCATATAGTGCCCTGGGGTTAAATGTTATTTTTAATTATTTTTTCCATGTACCTGGAAGGAGGGGAGAGACTTCCCAACCCTCCCTGTCTTGCCTTTCTGGCCACAGGTGCCTCTGCATTTGCCCAGGCAGGTATCAGCCAGGGCTGGACCCAAAGTTCCCGAGGCCTGACCCAAGATCCTCGCACACGTGACTGGGGAGCAGAGCCAGGTTTATGCTGGTGGAGGAGCTGTTAGCCCGCTTCTGGTTAGGTTCCTGGGTTCCCTGGGTGGTGCACCAGGGGGTGTAGCTAAAGGAGATGGTGCAGAGGCCTGCTGAGCACCTGGCCAGCCAAGGACACCAGCGCTGGAGCAAGGCCCTGGAGGAACCCACCCTGTGTGGGGTGCCTCTGTGCCGACACGACCTCCACAGGCCCCACACCAGAGCCAGGGGAGGCTTGGGGTGTGGATGGTACATCCCTCTGGTGAAAATCCTTGCCTGTAGGCCTCGGCAACCTCGTCACGCTGAGGGCTACGAGACAAACAGGAGACCAGGGCCAGGAGCTGCTGATCCCAGTGCTGAGTTAGCCGAGCCAGCAGGGATAACAGAGCTGGTGCTGAGCACAGCCCCACGCTTCAGAGCACTCGGCTCTCCCAACAGTTGCACCTCTGCCCTTTTCCCAGCTCCAAGCTCTTCAAAGTGCCTGTGCAGCCAGCCTCACAGCTCTTCGTCCTGCCCCTACAAATTCCCCCAAGTGGCTGCCCCCACCACCTGCTGACAGACTGGAAAAGGAACAGGATTTTTTTTAATTTGGTTAGAAAAAAATAGGTTGTCTGCCAGGTAGGGAATGGGATACCTTTTCTAATTTAAATGTAGATTTAATGGGAAAAAAAAAAAAAAAAACCAACCTAAAACACTTTAAGTTCATTATTTGGCAAAACCTTCCTGTCCAGAGAGGAATCTTACTTTTAAACCATTTTTTTTTCCTCCTGTCTCAGGGAAAGAAAACCACCCTGCAGGCATTTGCTAGCTCAGCTCCAGCAGCCTGCACCCCAACAGCTCCCCACAGTGCCTTGGTGTGCAGCAAGGGACTCCAGCAGGATCTGCCTCCTCCCTCCCTCCCTGTGGAAGATGGAGCCTGGCTAAAGCTCCCTCTGGTGCCTGTGGTTGCGGGCAAGCAGCCAGCAAAGGAACTTGATGTTGGTGTCACTTTTCCCTGACAAACCCCAGGGGCTATTGTGGCCGAGGGGGACAAACCCCCGCTCGTGGGGCATGCGAGGGGCAGAGGAATCGGAGGTGACACCCCAGGCTTCATGGCCTGGGATGCAGGCAAAGCCAGGGGGTGGCCAGATACTGCTGAAACACCCCCCCCCGAGGGGGTGCAGAAGGTCAGAAAGGACAGGCTGGAGGTGGGAGGAATGGAGGAGCCTAGAGCACAAAGAGGTGAAGAGAGGCAGCTCGAGGACAGTCAGCTCTGAGCTGTCGCTGCACCCTCGCTCTGCCCTGCAAGGGGACAGGCAGATGGCTCCTGCCCACAGGGAGGCAGGTCAGACCCCCCCAGCAGTGCAGGCTCAGCTCCTGGCGCAGCTTGCCCAGCAGACAGGGGTGGAAAGGTTTCTTCCCAGGCTTTGGGGAGCAGGCAGAACTCCTGCCAGTTGGGGGTGACACCACCTGGACAGCAGGTCCCACGTTTCTCCCACCCCACTTCATGGTGCCTGAGGAGAGACAGGGCAGAGATCACCTAAAGCAGGGCTCTGACCACCAGCCCAGGCACAGGCCGAGACCCTTTCCTCCCTAGGGTAGGCGTGAAATACAAGGGACCCCCCACCACGTCAATCACGTTCTTCCATACTTTAATTCCAGTAGAACAACACAACAGAAAAATAATCCAACAACAAAAAAATCCTAAGCCAACCAAATGACAATATCCTACACCCTGAGGGTTCACTATATGCAGCAGCTCAGAGGAAGGGCTCTCCCACCCTGATGGAACCAGGGCAGTGGTTGATGCCTACTGGGAACGTGGGAGACCCCGTGGAGGGGAGAGAAGGGGAAGCCAGATGCCTCCACCCCCCACCTGCTGTTCCTACACAAGCAGAAAGACACAGAACAGACAGCCCTCGGGCTGCCTGAATCACTCACTACTGACAAACAGGGACGCATGCCCTCCTGCAACCCTGCCCAAACACAACCCCAACCAAGCAAATCCAAAAAAAAATAAACAGACACCACCAAGGAGTCAGTAGCAGCTGGTGGGAGCGGACATGATACGGGGCAGCAGCCTGGCAGGGGAGGGAAGAGGCTTCCTTCAACTTTAGTCTACCTCTTCCATGCGGGATGCATCTTCATCTCCCTCCAGAGGGGGGATTTCATCAGGGACAGCTGCACTGGGCTCCTCTGCAGTCACCTCCTCTTCATCAATGCCTGGGAGAGAGAAGGAAGGGAAGAGATGAGGCTTCCCAGTGCCACCCGATCCCAGGGGTACAGCCTCTCCCAGAGCAAAGGCTAACTCCTGCCCGCAGCCTGAGGGCTATTAGCATCCAGCAGTTATGCCAAGCTGCAGCACCTCCCATTTTTAGCTAAACAGCCAATTTGGAGAAAAAGAGTTGGGTGCAAGCCCAAGCTGTTTCACCAGAGGGGTCACATCTCCCGTGACAGACTGCTGACATTCACTCTGATGAAAAAAAAAACCCCAAAAAGCAGCCTCACCTTGTCATCTGAGCAGCCTGGTGGTGGTTCCTGGCCTCGTGGTGGACAGGACAGTCCACTCAGAGCCCTGAGCCCTCCCAAAGTACCTCGTTCGAGGTTTCCACCTGCCCCTAGCCACCTCATGTGCACAGCCAGTTCTGCACATCACACCAGCATGGCTCACCTACTGGCCTCCCCCCTGGGAGGGAGGGACAGTTACACACTAGCCTGACCAGCTAACCCACTTTCAGGACCTGCTCCAGGCCCGAGAAGCTCCAAGGACACCTACCGAGCCCCAGTTTGATCATCCTGTAGATGCGGTTGGAGTGGGTCTGGGGATCTTCCAGGGAGAAGCCAGAGGACAGCAGAGCAGTCTCAAAGAGTAGCACCACCAGGTCTTTGACAGCTTTGTCATTCTTGTCAGCCTCGGCCTTCTGGCGGAGGGTTTCCACAATTGGGTGGTCAGGGTTGATCTCCAGGTGCTTCTTGGCCATCATATAGCCCATGGTGGAGTTGTCCCGCAGCGCCTGAGCCTTCATGATGCGCTCCATGTTGGCTGTCCAACCGTAGGTGCTGGTGACGATGCAGCAGGGAGAGGACACCAACCGGTTTGAGACAGTCACCTGCCGATGCAGCCAAGGGTTAACTGAACAAGGTCCCCGCTATGGCCTGGGCCCAGCCACAGCACCCACGACACCCCAGGTCTTTGCCCCAGGTGCAGCTGGGGGACACCCCAAAGCAAGCAGAGATCCTCCAAGCAGCTCCAGGACTGCTGCACAGACTAGTTCGGAGAGCTCAAGCCAGCACCTTCAGCGCCCGCTGCGTGTTGCCCACACTTACCCTCTCCCATCCATGCACGTTTTTGGGTCAGTGCCCCTCACCTGCAGCCTGGCTGCTTAGAGCGAGATGGTGCATGCTGGGACCTCCAGTCTCCTTTAGTGGCTCCTCTGCAGGAGATGAGGTAGAGGAGAGGCACGCATTGAGCTGAGGCTCTTGCCTGCATCCCGGAGGGCACAGCCCTCCTCCCTCCAGCCCAGGGCTGAGCTCCCTGCCCACCTCACCTTCTCCACTTTCTTGTCCAGGATCTCCTTCATGAGTTTGCAGAGAGTCTCCAACTTGGCCTTGCTCTCCTCCATCTTCTTCTTCTCCTCCTCATCCTCGGGCAGCTCCAGCCCCTCTTTAGTGACCGATACCAGGGTCTTGCCATCGAACTCCTTGAGCTGCTGGACGCAGTACTCGTCAATGGGCTCCGTCATGTACACCACCTCGAAGCCACGCTTCCGCACGCGCTCCACAAAGGCCGAGTTGGCAACCTGCTCCTTACTCTCCCCTGGGGGGGGGGTTAGAAATGAGAGAGGTCACCCAGATGCAAGAGCTGGTTTACAGCGGGATAAACAGCACCAGTCACTCAGAACCCCGAGCACAGGGGTGCGAGGGGCTCTAGGCCTGGCGGTCTGTGATTCAGCAGGGAGGACCTGCTGAAGGCAGCAGGACCTACCTGGAAAAATCA